AACCCTGGCAGGGGTTGCCCAGAGAGGTGGTGGAGGCCCCATCCCTGGAAGCATTCCAGGCCAGGTTGGATGGGGCTCTGAGCAGCCTGATCTAGTTAACGGTGTCCCTGTTCACTGCAGGGGGGTTGGACTAGATGACCTGTAGGGGTCCCTTCCAACCCAAAACATTCTATGATTCTATGAACGCGGTGTCCTGCCGGCCGTGGCCCTTGGCTCCTTGCCGAGGAGGAAGCCTGGGGCCGGTGGCCCTTTGGTGCCTGTCGCTGGCCATGGACCCGTGGTCTGGGAAGGTGGCTTCATCTGGACGTTGGTAGCTGGGTGGCAAAACCCAGTGCCGCACTGAGCGTCCTTCCCTTTGAGTGAGGAACAGGAATTAACACGGCCTGGTGTAACTAAACAGTACTTGGTGCGGCGCGTAAATTCACAAAGGTGGGAAGAACGTGAGGGACTTGACTGAAGCGCTACCGAAAAATCTGTAGTGAAATGTAAGCAGAAATGCATGATAGCTGTAGTACTGATGTGTGGCGTACAGGCAGAGAACAGACAACGGTGGTAGTATCTCCATCGTGCTTCCTCCTTGGTATGGTGGTATTTCAGTCTCCAAGTCAATACTTCAGCTCGGGCTGGGCAGGCATGGAAATGTCGTTCAAGCCCAACAGCATTGTCCTTCCGCATGGAACTTAAAGGAGTCTTCATCAACAGCTGCAGCGTGGACACAGGTCACTGGGACCCTTAGTTGAGAGCCTTGAGTGAAAGCAGCAATGCAGATTTGGAAACAGTTGCATCCTACTATTTATCATTTTTCTCTGAATCTCTCAAACTGGACTATAAAATCCTTAACGTTGATTACAGTAATTTGCTACCGTAGCCCTGGTGCGAACACAGTGCTGCCCTTGGGCGCAGGTGATCTTGGCAGTGTCCAGGCCATCTTGGATGTGCTTAGTTTTGACTTTGACATTGATTCACTTTGCAACTGTGTGAGGAGTATTTTATGCATAGCCTGATACCTTTTTTAGTAGCTCAGAAGATGCAAATATTTTTCTCAGTGGTTCAGGTAAAAAGAGCTTTATGTTCACATGAGTTTGTTCTGATGGCTGTGTTTTAAGCGTAGTAATATTTTTGGTAGTGTGACCAGAAATGAAATCTATACCAGAAAAAGTCCTGTATGTGAGGTAATTAAACTGACACTTGCCAGAAATTTGTCGCTGAAGAATTGAGCTTACTGGAATCGAGAAAAGTCTTACTTTTTTTGTTCATTATAGAGATTAAGAATTGGGGTTTGCTGGAGAGTTATTAGTTTGACCTCTCGTTTAAATCTCAAGTCACTAATTTCAGGTATCTTTACATTAAGCCTAGGTTTGGGGCTAGAACAAAACAGCATCTTGGCATCTATGTCTTTAGTAGAGAGGAGCAGCAGAGAATATAATGAGGAATGCCTTCCATCAAAGCAGTTGGTTCGTGCCTTGGAAGAACAAATATATAACAAGCAAACAAGGAGCCCTACAGGGAAAATTATTTCTTGAGTTTGAAGAACACGGCCTCTTTTGCTCTCCACCTGAGAGATGCAGAAACGGAAGGCTTGCAAAGGGGAGTTTCTCTATCACCTTGGGGCATTTCTTTATGCTGCTGTGGCCCGTCCTGGGTACGGCCAGTGCCTGATGCTGCAAGTGTCAGAAGCGTGATCTCGCCTTCTGTTCTCCCTGGTGCCCTTGATGATGTCAGTGAGCGTAAGGCAGCAAGGCCAACAGGCTGCCGTGATTATTCAGATGGTTCTTCCCTTGGCTTCCACAGACTAAGGAATTTGGGTTTAATTGTGATTCTGAAAACTACACTTCTATCCATTTAAATTTAAGCAGATGGCTGAGAGTTCTTTGGGATATTCTGATTTCCAAATCAAAATATTTATCAGCAAGTTCTGAAAGTCTTCAACTTACTTTTATTTTTTTTAATTCTTCTTACGTTCTCCTTAGCTTTTGTTTGCCAAGTACATTGTTTCCTGAACTCACATAGCTGTTTTTGTCATTTATATGATCCTCTTACAAATACTCTGGTACGTTATTGTTCTTGAAGCACAGACAACAGGACTGGATGTGGTATTTTGCTGACTGAGAGCTTGTTTAACGTCAAAAGCTGCAACTTGGGCAGTTCTGCTTTACAATACTATTGCGTGCATACTTGTGTAATTTGGTATTAAACTTGTGTTACTAAATCAACTATGGAAGCATCCTCATCTAGCCACAATGTGTTTTGAGTACAGAGTTTCCACTGGATTGCACTCTGGATGGTGTGTTCCTATTCTAATGGAAGTTCTTGCATACATCCCGTGTTGCTAGTGGATGACTGGATTGCTTGTTTACTTTAGTAATCACTTTGCACCCTTTTTTTTAGCGTTTCATTTGTTTGCAGGCCATTTTAAAAAAAAAAAAAAGCCTCAGATGAAAGCAGGTTGGGCTCTTGCTAGGCTTCCTATCGTTTGTGCAGTCAGGTCTCGTAGGGCTGTAGCTGTAACCCCGGGCATGTTTATGCCAGGTGGTGAGCTGCGCTGCAGACGCAGTCAAGACCCCTCTTGATAAAGCCACACGCATCTGGCTACTTGGAGGTGTCAGCTTAGGTCTTGAAAGCAGCGCAGCTGCGTCGGTGTCGCACCTGCGGTAGGTCTTGCCTCTGTGAGATGGGCAGGTGTGAGCACAGTGCCATGATAACTTGCTGTATTATTTCTGCTTCTAGAGCTAGTACAGGATTTTGTGTCGGTGACAGTCCTTACACACCCTTCTCATGCCCAGGAGACTCTATGCCACCCCCCAGAAACCACTAGCTCTCTCCATTGAGCCACGCTTATTCCTTCCATTTCTTAATCATTACAAACTTAGAGTTAGCATCACCCTAATTACCTTCTGCCTGAATGATTGGTGTGGTTTCTGTTTTGTTTTGTTGTTTTTTTTTTTTTCCCAGCTGGATCTTCCTTAGTGCTCAGAACCAAACCTAAAATGCTCTATTCCCTAGGGATGTCACCTGGTTTTGGGGAGGGGAAAGCTGTCACCTACACCCTTCAAGAATTCATTAGGGAATTCCATCCTGCGGCTTCATAGGCATCCAGCTAAAACCTTTAGTCTTAAAGTTTGTTCAGAACAACTTCATCTGTTTCCTGCTTTGGTGGCTGGAGCACCTAAGGACAATTTATCATGACATCATCCTCTGCCTTAAATGTGTTATAGTTGTATATCTATAAAATACCTCTGTATGTGTCCATAAAGTATATATGTAAATAGAGAGAGCGAGCAAGACTCTTGGTCTCTATTCTCTCTTCCAAACCCCTTCCACACTTGTTTTACCTGAAACACTTCACATTAATCTTGCAATTTCAGTCCGGATGAAATGGTTTGATTTCTTCATGTGAAGTAGTTTATCTAATGCAACTTTGTATTTGACTTCAGTGTGAAAAGGTGGCTGTCCTCTGGAACTTGTTACTACAAGTAATTGCTTTTTGTTCTTCAGTTTCTAAGAACTCAGTTGTGTATGTAGCTGTTCTTAGACAACCAAAGGATTGGGAAAATGGAACTTCACGGACAACTGTAGTAACAAGTGCTCGTCAGTACCTCTGTATCAAATATCTTTTCAAATAGCAAGCAGTTTTGGTGTTTCGATGCACGTACTTCCTTGCAGACTTACAGAACCTGGTTATGATTAGTAATTCAGTAAAACTTGGCAACTGTTGTGTGTAGTGTTAAAACCAATTTACATACAGCCTACGAACTGGCACGAGTTCTGCTGACTGGGTAACTCCCGAACTAAGTGAAGTTGCTTTGAACTTTGTAGGATAAAACGGCATGCTAAACTTTGCCTGCGTTTGTCAATCAAGATTGCAGTTGTGCATCCATCGTTGAAAGAAACCATTTAAAGAGTGGTTTTTCAGCCTTTGCTTCCTTCAGCTTCTAGATCAAGGGGGAATGTATGTCTTCTAGTCAGTGCCTTGCAGCTGATAAGGCAAAGACTTGAGGACTGATAAGGTCTACAAGCAGTGGCTCATCATTGTTCTAATACCACTCTATCATTTTTGAACTGGAATTAGCTTGGATCCAAAAGCACAGATGGAACAAGTATTTGTTTGCTTTTCTTTTTGCGTGGACATGTTCCAGTTAAACTAGAAGAGTAATGGTGATCACCAGCAAAAGCAGCGATTGCTATCTTTACACTTAGCCAAATGAAGAAGCAGCCATCCGCAGCAACGTAGCACTCTCATCTGCGTTTTTTAAAAATCATTGATAGAGCTCTGTGCTCTCAGGATTATTCTTGTTGCTTCCTTTGCTTTAGTGTAGCTTCACCACAGTATGTTAACCTGGGATGTGTGTGATCCCAGTAGAGACTGGGATGCTGGGATCCTTGCTCTTTGCTGTGAAATAATATAATTGCTTATCCCTCTCTCATCGTAGTCCATTATAGTGAGAAGAACTAGATGCATCTGGGATAAATTCTATACCTGTTTATGATTCAGGCCCTCTTGGCCACCTGGGCACACTGCTGGCTCATATTCAGCCCGCTGGCGACCAACACCCCCAGGTCCTTTTCCACCAGGCAGCTTTCCAGCCGCTCTGCCCCACGCCTGTAGTGCTGCATGGGGTTGTTGTGACCCCAGTGCAGGACCTGGGTGAGGTTCAACAAGGCCAAGTGCCAATTGGCCTCGGCCCATAGCTCCAGCCTGACCAGGTCCCTCTGCAGAGCCTTCTTACCCTCCAGCAGATCAACACGTCGGCCCAGCTCAGTGTCATCTGCAAACTGACTGAGGGTGCACTCAATCCCCTCGTCCAGGTCGTTGACAAAGATGTTAAACAGAACTGGCCCCCACACCGAGCCCTGGGCGACACCACTTGTGACCGGCCGCCAACTGGATTTAAATCCATTCACTACAGCCCTTTGGACCCAGCCATCCAGCAAGATTTTTACCCAGCAAAGAGTTATGCCTGTCCAGGCCATGAGCAGCCAGTTTCTCCAGGAGAATGATGTGGGAAACGGTGTCAAAGGCTTTGCTAAAGTCTGGGTAGACAATATCCGGGTAGCCTTTCCCTCATCCACCAAGTGGCTCACCTTTTCATAGAAGGAGATCAGGTTGGTCAAGCAGGACCTGCCTTTCATAAACCCATGCTGACTGGGCCTGATTGCCTGGTTGTCCTGGACGTGCTTTGTGATGGCACTCAAAATGATCTGCTGCATGACCTTCCCCAGCACCGAGGTCAGGCTGACAGGCCTGTCATTCCCTGGATCCTCCCTCCAGCCCTTGTAAACGGGCGTCACATTTGCCAGCCTCCAGTCAAGTGGAGCTTCCCCAGTCATCCAGGACTGCTGATAGATGATGGAAAGGGGCTTGGGGAGAACCTCTACCAGCTCCCCCAGTACCCTTGGGTGGACCCCATCCAGTCCCATGGACATGTGTGTGTCTCATTGGCTGAGCAGGTCACTAACCATTTCCTCTTGGATCATGGGAGCTTTGTTCTGCTTCCCATCTCTGTCTTCTGTCTCAGAGAGCTGGGTACCCGGAGAACAGCTGACCTTACTATTGAAGACTGAGGCAAAGGAGGCATTAAGTACCTCAGCCTTATCCTCATCCTTTGTCACTATAGTTCCCCCTGCATCTAGTAAAGGATGGAGATTTTCCTTGGCTCTCCTTTTGTTGTTAATATAGAAACATTTTTTATTATCTTTCACAGAATTGGCCAATTTAAGTTCTAGCTGGGCTTTAGCCCTTCTAATTTTTTCTCTGCATGACCTCACAACATCCTTGTAGTCCTCCTGAGATGCCTGCACCTTCTTCCAAAGCTCACAGACTTCCCTCTTTTTTCTGAGATCCAGCCAAAGTTCTCTGTTCAGCCAGGCCCGTTTTCTTCCCCGCCGGCTCATCTTTCGGCGCATGGGGATGGCCTGCTCTTGCGCATCCGGGGTTTCCTTCTTGAAGAGTGTCCAACCTTCTTCGGCTCCTTTGGCCTTCAGGACTGCCTCCCAAGGGACTCTGTCAACCAGCCTTCTGAACAGTCCGAAGTCTGCCCTCCAGAAGTCCAAGGTAACAGTTCTGCTGACCCCAATCCTTACTTCACCAAGAATCGAGAATTCTATCATTTCATGATTGCTGTGCCCAGGTGTGTCCATCGCATCACCCACAAGGCTGCCTCTGTTCACAAAAAAAAGGTCTAACGGGTGCCTTCCCTAGTTGGTTCACTCACCAGTTGTCAGGAAGCTGTCTTGCACACACTCCAGGAACCTCCTAGACTCTTTCCTTTCTGCTGTATTGTACTTCCAGCAGACATCTGGTAAGTTGAACTCCCCCACAAGAGCAAGGACTAGTGGTCGTGAGACTTCTCCCAGTTGCTTGTAGAATATTTCATCTGTCTCTTCTTCCTGGTTGGGCGGTCTATAGCACACCCCCACCATGATATCTGCCTTGTTGGTCTTTCCCCTGATTTTTGCCCGTAAACTCTCAACCCTATCATCACCATCCTTGAGCTCAAGGCAATCAAAACGCCCTCTAAAATATAGGGCTACCCCACCGCCTTGCCTTCCTTGCCTGTCCCACCTGACGTGTTTGTAGCCATCCATGGCAGCACTCCAGTTATGTGAGTTGTCCCACCACGTTTCTGTGATGCCGACTATATCGTAGTTTTCCTGCTGCACGATGGCTTCTGATTCCTCCTGTTTGTTGCCCATGCTGTGAGTGTTGATATATTGTGTTGGTGAGCTAGCGTGGGTTTTGCCTCTCTGCTAGCAAACCCATGTCTGAAGCTTAGACACACAGTGTACTCTGCTAGCGTGTAAAGATCAAATGCTTCTTTTTATGCTCAACACGTAGCATATGGAACGTAACATTTTTTTTTCTGTTCTTTTCCAGCTTAGGTCTAATATCAGATTCTTTTCATATGTTTTTTGACTGTACTGCTCTATTGGCTGGATTAGCAGCTTCAGTTATTTCAAAATGGAGGTCAAACGATGCTTTCTCATATGGGTAAGAAACTTCAGGCTGTTATCTTAATGTACTTTAGTAGATGTCTAGGTGGTAATTTTCCACTGTATGAACAAAACCTTTTTTTGCAGAATATGGAAAAGCTATGTTGAAAGTATGGGGTTTTTTAAGGTGAGTTATGTAAACCTTTAAGTTAATATCCCCCTTAGAAATAACAAAAATGTGAAGGTGTTGCTTTAGGGGAGCAGGTTTATAGCTTCTAAGATCTCTGTGATCATACTACTGGAAACAAGCTACGCAACAGAAGGTTGCCCTGCATTGTCATGTGTTCATGGCACCAGTGAGGTAAGAGCAGCCGCGTCATGGGTTTGTCCTCGCAGCGCGGAGAGGCGCGTTGCAGGGAATCTCAGGCTGCTGGTGCCCCACGCATTCTTTGGAACAGAAAGTTCCGGCTGAAGGGAGCTACGGCTCAGTGCTGCTGCACCTGAGATTATAAGCCATGCTTCTCGGGACCAGCAGGGTTCAACAGCGGTGGCTAGCGTTAACGCAGACCCGCGAGGTTGAGGTATGCCGTCCCATACCGCCCTTCATGGGTACAGCTGCTGCAGCTGGCTCTGCTTGAAGGGTGCTTGGTTCCACTGCGCGTTGCAGTTGTGCCCTATAAAACAATACCAGTGACACAATATTATTAATTGGTGATACTGATTAATTAACAGCAACTGAACTGTAACATGGGTTGCTGCGTTCCCCATAGCATTACTGACCTGAACGTCAGCATTTAGCTTCAGATGTCTCGCCTAAGCATGGATCGTGTAGTTTGACACTTAAAGCACTGTTTAATTAAGGTGGAAACTCCAGTGTGCCTAGAAATCAATTTAGGAAAAATTGATTGTACCATGAACTAATTGCAATGAAAGCAGGTTCTGTATTAATTACTGTTCTACATTTAAACAGCTGGTGTTCCATTTATTAGAGAACAGCCACAATTTATTAAGTCTGATGCTTCCCACATTGGAATTACATGTTATTCTAACTTGGCTGGTTTTTATTGGAAAAATTTAGTAGTTGAAATAATTAATTTCTACTTAAAACTTTTACTAAAAATCCCCCTACTAGAGGGGGAGCAAATTAATGTATGGCTGTTTGATTAAACAGATCTTTACACTCACAGACTCTGATTACATATTGCATGCTTATCTTATTTTGTGGCTTCCAAATACATGTTTATACCATAACTTCCAGTAGGGATGATATTAAATGGGAAGATATTGACGTATTGAAAGTTTGCTTTCGTCTAGATCAGGTGATTTCTGTCAAAATACAAGACAGTGAATTTTATATACTTTTCTGTTGTTTATATACCGCATCTTCCATTTAGCAAATCCCTGTGTAATGCAACTGTTTGAGAACTGGAAGTTTGTACTCCGCCTTCTTTGTTCCACTTATCGTTTTCAGCATTTAAATAGAGATGGTAATATCTGCTGTTGCTTTTTTGTTTCTTGCAGGTATGTTCGAGCAGAAGTACTTGCTGGTTTTGTAAACGGTTTATTCCTCATCTTTACAGCATTCTTCATTTTTTCTGAAGGTGTTGAGGTATGTTATGAAGTCAATTGCTCTATCAGTTGTCACACTTCTATTTGTAGAGCATATTTAAAATGATCAAAATTGATTATGTTCATTATTGTTTAAAAATCTCTGATTTGAACAGAGTTAGGGCCATCTGATGAAATTCCTGTTTTGTGACACAAACTCAACTTTTTCAGTGTGTCTGTACTAGCTTCTTAAATAGTATAGTTTGATTGTGTGTAAAGATTCTGAGACTTGCCCTGTCCTCTTTTCAGCCCGTTAAGTGTGTCATAGAAAAATCTTTACTCCTCTTTGTTAAAGGACAGCTAAGGCCAAAACTAGTCATACCGAGGAGAGAAGTTAGTCATAAGAATTGGAGGTACATTCTGTGAAGAAGTTGGACTAACTCATTAAAGAGCATTATCTTCCAAATCTTGAAGTCCGATATAAATGGCAAGGAGTAATAGCTTTAACATTTACACGGGCACTTTTCTTGAATTTTTTTTTACAAGATGGTTCAAGTGATAATTTCAAGATGAAAATTTAGACATCAGGGGTGTCTGCACTCAAGTGAGTTAGCATTAAGAGTAAAATTGATAACTGATTCTGATCAGCTTGCATTAATGATTTTACTTTTAAATGGGAGATGCACTATAAATTTGTTTAGACTTCTAGTTCAGAATACTTTTTTTTTTAAATTGAGAACTGGGAAGAGCTTTCAGGAACATACTCTCTGCATGGATAAGCCTGTAAATACTTCAAAATCAGTGCAAACTGGGCTGAAATTGCCTAAAAGCTTGGGGAAACTTCACTGCAAATCTAGAAACAGCAACAAAACTTACTAGAAATAATGAAAACTGCTACTGGAAGGGTCAAGGGTAATGTTGAAACGTCATTCTTTTCCTGCTGGTCTTAACTCCCATGCTAAGTATTCCCTCTGCTTGTGATGGTGACTCGCTTTTCTCTCTGTCACTTCAAAATTTTACATCTGCCTAAAGTTTCATTGTCTTGCTATTGCCTGTACCTTTCATCCCTGTGGACAGATGGTGAATGTTTCTCTCCCCTGTTAATAGTAATTCACACTCTTCAACACTTAGCTTCCATTGTAGGTTGTGTTAGGCCTATAATGTCTCGTTGAAAAAAAAAAATTCCAAAGAAAGTAGGGTAAAAAAGAATTTAAAAAAAACCCAATGTAGATTCTAGAAGTTTGTTCTCAGTCTTCATTCCATTCCCCTCATCCTCTCACCCGTGTAAGGAGAAAGGAATAAATGGCATTTTAGACTCTTGGAAGTTGTTTGGACGATTTGGGCAATCCACGTATTACAACAAACCTGAATGTTTCGATGCGGTGTTGAGCCACATCCGCAGCATAATGAAGTCTTATGACAAAAGTTAGTTAGACTATCAGAATATTCCACTATACTTTCACGGCTTTAAAAATGGAAACTTCAAGTTTGGACAGTAAGAATTAGTCTGTGTACCATCCCAAAACCAGAAAGTCCTGAGTAATTTCCAGCTGTGTCTTTATATATGTCTGTTTGTATGAGAATGCTCCTGTACATAAGCAGTTTTTTCTGTGCCTCTTAATAATGTGTAAAGAGATTGTAAAACTCTACATTTCCTTCTTGGTTTGTTGTTTTGCTTTGTTTCTTAGAGAGCACTTGAGCCTCCTGACGTGCATCATGAGAGACTTCTTCCTGTTTCTATACTAGGATTCATTGTAAATCTTATAGGAATATTTGTTTTTCAACATGGAGGTCACGGGCATTCACATGGCTCTGGTAGGATGTCTATAATTTTCAGTACTGTTCCCTTTACTGGCACCCTGTGTTCCAGGGCCTTATAATCCTCCAATGAGGACCCCAGGGTTAAATTTTAATGTCTTTTTAGTGGCAATCCTAGCCAAACATATATGTGACTTGTTGCAATGTTGACTTTTCTGTTTTGTCACTAGCCCTAGTATGTCACTACTGTACTTCTCATGTTAATATCCATTAACCGGAAGACCTAGAACTCCAGAATCTGCTTTCTGGAACATGCACTCTTCTGCACCTTATTGGAAGAGATTTGCAGAGTGTCCTTTGGACAAAATTAAACTGGAGTTAAGCGAGGTCTTGGCTAGAAAATTTACAAAACAGTGTCTGAACCAAATACTAAGTATGAGGTGATTCAGCTTCTAGTGCTTCTCAACTTAGTGTCTTTTGAATTTGAATGCAGAATTTATTTGCCAAAGTATATATGGTAAACATTTTGGGGTTTGGTTGGTTGTTTGTTTTTTTTCTGCAAAGCTAGTGAGTATCTCTTTCAGCTTAACGTATAAACTGATATAGACTGGTAGAAGAAAAATAGTCTTTGTTCTTTAAGCAGCGATTTAATTTTTAAATTGTGATTGAATTTTTAATTTTTAATGTCTCAACAACAGCCAATTTCTGGTTTCTTGAAACAGCTATTTTTAATGTGTTTGTATCTAATTATGTGTACATTTTTCAAATTATACTAAAAGGGTAGCACAACTTGTCTCAGAAGTGGGAATGTATAAAAGCACTTGACTTCTCCAACCAGGTGTATATTTCACACGGCTGCACAGCATAGATTTAGATGACAAACAGCTTGTGTTAATTTTCTTAACTTATTTAAAGCAGTATCTTAAGATGACCTAAAAGGTGAATAGGTTTTGCATAGCTTAGAAACAAATGTAAGCATACTTTAATTCAACACTTAAATTTACATTCTGATGGTGTTATTTGTTCATAGGACATGAACACAGCCATTCTCTATTTAATGGTGGCCTCAGCCACGGACACAGTCACGGAGGTCATGGTCACAGCCATGAGCATAAACACGCCCATGGACACACTCATGATCATGGCCATAGCCATGGACACTCTCACGGTCAGGATTATTGTCATGGTAAGTACTTGGTTAATGTTGTAGACCTTCTTGCCTCAATGTAAATTTGCTATTAATGATTTATTGAAAAAAAAGAGAGGGTGCTGGTGGCTTGTTGGGAGCACACATGGAAGGAGTTTCACTAAATGTGTGGCACTCTATGCCGGCGCCATGTTTTGTGGCTCACTTTGGTAAATGCTGTTTCACTTGCAGTAAGTTCAGTGTTAGTTTATAAAGGTTTTACTTTACCTACGTTTTTTGCATGTTCACTGTAATGTTATGTGTTGGCGAAAGATAAAACAGCTGTACCTGTAGCAATATAATGAAATCAGCTGTCAAGTGCTCTGTTTGAATTTTCAATAAAATCAATAGACAAAGTTAAGCTGCTTTGCTAGTGTTCTCCATTTGAATGATTTTACAGCTCAAGATATTAGGAAAGATGAGCAAGCAATTTTACTTTGAGTACTCAGGGATTGGTATGTGTACTTGGTTTGTGATCTCAAATACCAAGATTTTCCCCGTCTTGTGTAGTTCTAATCTGTTTTAAAGCTGGTTATGAAAAAGGTACTTGGTATCTTAGCAATGCTTAAGCCTTTTCTATAAAGGCACACAATCTGTGAAGACACATCAGTGCAAAATATGGTCAGTAGCCTTCACTGTGGGAACATATTTGAAACAGTGCAAAGGAAAGCCTTGTTGTAAGGCAGGGTTGTCAATCCTGGGTGCCTAAGCTGTAAACTAGAACCTGATGTGACTGAAAATGTGCACATTCAGCGTGGGGAGTAGCGTGGCAACTTGCAGACAGGAGGTGACAAAGAGTATAAAAATATTTACTGGTCCCTTTCTTGCTGTTTTATTAGAAAATGGGTGCTTGTTTTCCAAGTGTTCTCCTGGGGTTTGGTTGGGAAGCGGGAGCTCCCCCTTCCTGCCTCTTCCTTGCTCTCCCCATGCCCCCCACCCCACTGGAAGAGCAAACGTAGCTATCTGTTCTGTGCAGTTTGATATTCAAATCAGCTTTTGTGTAAATTATTGTATATGTTCACTAGAAGCCATTTGCTATCCTTTAACAAGTTTTTCTTTAAATATCTTTCTGATATGTTCCACAGAGGCATTAACCTGCTTGGATGAGAGGATTATTTTACTTGGTTCTACCTTCTCCAAGCATTAATTTCATTGTTTTACATTAGGTATAAATGCTTGTTTCGGTGAAGTATTTCTGGTTAGCAAATTTACTTGACCTTACTCTTGCTCGTCTGTATGGCTTGTATTCTTGAGGGGTCCTTATTTTGCTAAATACTAGAAAGGTCTTAGTTCTCAGTTTGTTTTCCTTAAAAAATAGATATCGATCTTTTTATTTTTATATATACATGTATAAAATCTAGTGTGTAAAGTGGAATTTTCTTTTAAAAAAATGTGGTGTAATATTTTTAACTAAATTACTGAGTTAAAAAACATTACCTAGAGTAAAAGGTTGTCATTGTGAGCAGCTTGTCTGTTCAAGAAATTTCAGAAATGAAGGCCATAACGGAACATACCACTAGGGAGAGCCTTTGTGTAGGTTAATATGCCAATAATTGTCTTCACAGGTGACCATTCTCTTGAAGGGATGGCTGGATCCAGCAAACAGATTTTACAAGGTATGATGAAAATAAGTATAGTGGTTTATTAGTTTTATTGTGGTCTGTCTGCCTGTGACTGTGTCGCACATCTGTTGTAGAAGGTGCCTCTGGGTAAATGCTACCGTTTCCTTAGAGGAGCTGTTTTATGAAGTCCCCTTCCCCCTGTAAACAGAACGGTGCCATACCCTGTGTGTGGCCATGTCTTGAGACGTTCACTGAAGTCAAAATGCAATGCGGTGTCAACACAGTTTAAAAGGGAGACCCCAAAAGCTGGGACTCAGCTTCTGTTACTGATGCTGAAAAATCAAATAATAAAA